AATGCTAGCACCTAACTGTGACATTTAACATGGCATGGAAGCTTTGAATACATACCTGAGAAAAGCAGTTACATAATTTCCTTTTTTGTGGTATGGATGGCCTTGGATTAACAGAACTCAATTACATTTTTATAAAACACAGTCTGAGACTGATGAAGTGGACCCTTTTTAAATTTATAAAACTTGGAAGATGGTCCTTTGATTATTACAGTGTAGTTAAGAGATTGACGTGGGCATTACAGAGGACGTCAAGATGCTCGGAGATTTGTTGTACATTATATGATCATTGGTATAAAGCATGCTACTACTAATCAATCAGTTTTATGTATTAAGACCTCTCGGCATGGTTTTTCAGTACCTGGTTGACTTGATTTTAAACTAACATGATGTTCTCTGTATCATTTAACGTTTCCAAGACACGCTCCCCAGGCAAAGTCTGTCGAGAGCAAGTGGTTCCAGCTTTGGAGGCTACTTCTAGAGTCTTCATATGAAACTAGAGTGGGCTGTGGGGTTTAATTCGCACTAACTTTTCTTTTCTGAAAGATTACTTATGTTTAAGTTATCATGTAGTAGTGCTTTTGTCTTACAATTAAACTCTTACAGCACTCATGCATTTTTTGCACTGTCTTTTTTTTTTTTTTTTTTTTTAAGCTTTCCTTTCTTGGATGAAAATACCATGAAATAACAGGCCTTATTTTCTTAGTTGAAAAGGTAAGGCAACTACCATGAGGTTGAACGTGTGACATAGGAATTTTAAATGATAGATTCTTTAGAAAAATAGCTTATGCACAGTTAGTCAAATTGAATTAAGTTGCAGGAAGAAAGAGGACAGTTTTTGGCTTTCTCCAGGATGTTCACAAAGCAGGATTCCGAGGTAGAAGATTTGTGTACAGGGATATCCTTCAGCCTCTGCAGGGTTGGCTGTCACGTGTAGTGAGACCACCAGCAGTGCTCGTAGGCACTTATTATTTCATGCTACAATGTTTTTGAAAAATGTTAAGTTCAGTTAGACATCTAATAGCTGAAATGTTGGCCAAGGTGTTCATACCCAATATAAACACAGAATTGTTTCACTGTTTCCCTTCCTGCTTTGTGTCTCTTGATGGCCTTGAAGGAATGGGGTGGCCTGGTGCTGTTTGAGTGTCACTCTACATCAGGCTGTGGTGTGATGCTGAGCAAGTCTGCTCCCAGGAGACAACCTGTGTGTCTGTAAGCAGCTTGTGTTTTGCCTTTTTCTGAAACGTTGTTCTAGGCTCTGCCATGATTCTGGAATGAGATTCTATAAGAGGCTTTGATTCTATGATGGAATCATGAACTTTGCAAACAAGTTAAAATCCTTTTTGGATTTGTTAAAGTATATGGGACATTCTGTTTAGCGGATTGTCAGTTTCTAGTTTACCACATTCAGTGGAATGGGTAATTTCACATGAATGAGTCTGAGACCCAGCTCTATCATTTACCCAGTAACGTTGGGCACATTAGACTTCTCACACCTCCATGTTTCCAGCTGTCAAACCACATTTCTCAGGTATGGCCATGAAAAGAGGCATGTGAGAGGGCTTTAAGGTTGGCAGTTCTCTTCCTCATTGGGGGGTAGACACTGAAAGCTCCATCCCAGTCTTGAAGGAACTTTGGGGTGGGGCCTCAGTATTTGTCTTATTGAGATCCCTGGCGATTCTGATGCTGAGTTGAAATCCAACTCACACTTGTCAATGGTGCCATGCTTAAGAGCCGTAGAAATCGTGCATGCAAAAAAGTTGCATGTGTTCACACCTGTATATGCTGGGCAGACTGAACACAACGGAGTCCATGAGCTGGACCTGTGGAGTGCAGGCAGGCCTTTCCTGAAGTTTGTCGGGGCCTTTGTCGGGGCCCCTCATGGCCTCTTCTGGGCTTTCCTTGTGAAACTGAACAGCAGCCCCATGGTTTGGGTGACGAGTTATGAGAAGATGGGCAGAAGGGGCTTGGGCAGGCTCACGAGGCTAAGTAGGTGGCACAGCTGTGGTCCCACTTCTTGAGATGGAAAATAAGGTCAAATAAACACTTTGTGGGGAAAGGAGGAAGCATATCTAGTTGAGTCTGGGAATCTAGAATGTGAAGTGTGCGTGATACTCAGGTGGGTCTGTCTAGCAGAGAACTGGAATACAGTTTGGAATTCAGAAGCAGGGTCAGAGCTGGAAAACCAAGTCAAGGGTGAGGAGAAGCACCCTGGGGAGCGGCTGCAGCCCGATGGAATGAATGATGCACTCCTGCCCACCTGCAGCACTCAGTGTCTTCATGGGTCAGCCCTCTCCTCTCGCCAGCCCAGGCAACTTGCGCAAGTGCCTGCCTGTGCTTGTGTTCTCACTTATAAAATGGAAATAACAATACCTGCCTCAGGTTGTGAGGATTAAATCTTCAAAGTACTTAACAGTTGCTGGCACATAAGCTAATTGAACAGCTTTTACTTAGGATATAGATTTAATTTCTATGGATCAATTCCCACGAAAGCATCCTCGAGCCTGGGTTGATCATCACCGTCCCTGAATTTATTTTCTGCCATGCAGCGTACCACCTAGGGGCTTATGCTGTTAGCGTGTTTATGATTCTAGCTGGACTTGCCCCTTGATTGGGATGTGAGTGCTTGTAAGGATTAGTGCCACGTCTTATACTTCTACATACAAACATTCTGCTTTTCAAACATCAGTTGTTTCTGTGTGGCAACTTAGAATAAATCCTAGTGTTTTAGAATTGTTTTGGTGCAGCATAGGAGCTCAACAATATTTGAATGCATAAGTCAGTGAATGCCTTAGCACAGTGAGTTTCCTACATATGAACTTTCAAGTTACAAACTTGAAGTAAGCACACCTGTGTTTTTTTATGTATTATTTCTTTTCACCAGGTGTCAGTATAGCCTGTTGAATACATAGAGTACTGCATAGCCGATTGTGTTAGTTGAGTACCTAGGCTGACTCTTGGACTTACAACAAATTGGACTTATGAACGTGCTCTCGGAACAGAACTCGTTCGTATGTTGGGAACTTCCTGTGCTTCTTCTGACCAAGGTATGTTCTGACATAACAAGGAGGCATTCCTTACTAAATGAGCACTTTCCTGACATGTCCAGACCGCTTTCAACAGCTCATAATGCAAGTTACCTTGAAAAGCACCTACACCCACTCTTTAGGATGGCCAAGGAAAGCAAGTGTTGTGTGGGCTTTTAGCTTGGGCCCCTCGTGACAGCCTTGCTTCAACATGTGACCAGTGAAGAGGAAGTAGCAAAGGCACATTCTTCATTTGGATGTTGGCATCCTAGTGTAAATGACGCCTAGGTCAGGTGATCTGTAAGTCCTTGATTTTCTAGCAGTCATTCTGCTAGTACTCACTGGCAATCAGGATACAAATTATAGATATGTGTATATAATATATAGTTATATACATAGATATGTATATTTTTTCCTTTTTAGTCGGAGTCTCACTCTGTTATCCAGGTTGGAGTGCAGTGGCACCATCATGGCTACTGCAGCCTCGACCTGCTGGATTCAGGCAATTTCCATTTCAGCTTCCCAAGTAGCTGGGACTACATGCACGCCACCATGCCCGGCAAATTTTTTGATTTATTGTAGAGATGAGGTCTCGCCAAGTTGCCCATGCTTGTCTTGGGCCCCTGGACTCAGGCAGTCCTCTTGCCTTGGCCTCCCAAAATGCTGGGATTGTAGGCATGAGCCACCATACCCAGCCAAATACTGTTTTAAACATAATAACAGATGTGAAGAGGCGAATTTTATAGGACTTTAAAAGTAATGGCAACAAAATACATAACTATTCCTCTTCCCTTGCTATTCCTGCCTCTGCCCCCGCCCCCAAAACAACCTATCAAACTGGCAACAAGCAAAATAGAACTAATGTGTCCTGTTTGACCCACAATGAAAGGATTAGATGATATGCTCTGAGTTAAACTAGCTGTGACCTTGAACTTGTCTGCAAAATGAAGATAATATGAACTAACTTATGGCACGTATGTGCCAGCTACTTTTGCAGGTACTTTGATGATACTCACCTAACAGTTCTTACCCATTAGTGTCCTTGTAAGATTAATGAGATGACACTCTCCTAAAGCACTTAGTGTACTCTGTCCGTGCCTACTTTTTCTCCTGGGTGTAAACCACAGAAACTCCAAAGTTTGTAACATTTACAATCTTTTAATAAAAATATGTAGTGACGGGAAGGATGGTGTTGTGGTGGAAAAATAACAAGTGTGGTGGCTATTTTAGAATGCTATCAGAGTTACAATGAGTTATCTAGCAGCCAGGAACCCGTTCCCTGTGACTCACTAAAGGATTTTAAAGATTGGCTTCCGACCTCAGGTTCCCACTTGGGAAACAGAACTCACTCACGGCACCTTGTCACTGACTGCCCAGCAGGCTTGAATGCTCTGGTTACTGGGAATCTCAGTCCAGGGTGGGGAAAAAGTCATTTTTAAAAAAAGCTCTTGGATGGTGAGACAGGGCAGGACCTGTGATTTATTAGACAAATGACAGGACTTACTAATATTTTGATCCTTATGCAAGGAAATGCCTCGTTAGAAAACAAGAGTTTGAATTTTCATTTAAAATGAAACTACAGAAGAGAGAATGTGTATATCTCTGGACTGTGTGTCCTAATGTTAACTTTCTCATTTCCAAGGATATTTAAGGCCAAGGTTATTTCACTTTCTGGGTGAGGAGTAAGACAGCAGGGATTTGGTCAATGCCATAAGTGCGGTGTTCACTTACATAGCATTCACTATGGGAGATGTAACTCTCTCCGGTAGGCACTACCAGTAGCCACATTTACTGATGCAGAAATGGGCACAGGTTAAGTAATACGGCAGGGGGTGCAGGGACACTGAAGGTACAGGAGGCACTTTCAGCCTCCTCCTGGTCTCCACCCCTAGGGGTCGATTCCATAACTGTTGGTTGCAGGTCTCTGTAATTACACATAACATTTATTGGTGCCTGTTGGTGGCAGGGACAGAAGGGTCAGGTTGGAATGACATTTGTACTTAAAAGAATGATAATGATTGGTAGGAGAATTGCCACGGTGATGGTTACAACCTTGAAGTATTTCCACCATGTCCTCCCGGGAAGTTTTCTTGCTTTTTGGAATTCTTCAGCCTGAAATAAAAATAACCACAATTTAATGTTTTCTCTCCATTTCTGGACTAATGGTATACTCTGATACCATGGCTGTCTGAAAAAGCAGGTTTACCGTCTGACCTGATCAATCCCCAAACGTTGCAATAGGACGCAACAGGTTTTTTTTCTGAGTTGGAGTCTCGCTCTGTCACCCAGGCTGGAGTGCAGTGGGCTCAGATGATCCTTCCGCCTCAGTCTTCCAAGTAGCTGGAACAACAGGCACATGCCACCACGCCTGGCTGATTTTTTGATTTATTGTGGAGATGAGGTCTCGCCAAGTTGCTCAGGCTGGTCTTGAACCCTGAGTTCAGACAATCCTCTCACCTCTGCCTTTCAGAGTGCTGGGATTACAGGCATGAGCCATTGCGCTGGCTTCAATAGGTTTCACAAAGTCATGCACCAAGGCTCCAGGCATCATCTGTAATCTTAGTAGCTTTGTTAACTTGTGACCTTGAATAAGTAACTGGATTTTGAGCCTCTATTTTCTCAGCTTCACTTCCTGCATGATTTTACTTAAATGCCACTTGCTCTTACAATCAGACTGGAAATTGCTACCCTCATTTCCATCCTAGAAACCTTCTCCACAGTACTTTTTTCTAACATTACCTACATTTTATTTATCATTTGTCTAGAGTGTAAGTTTCGTGGAGGCAGGGATTCTGTTTCATTCACTGCTGTGTTCCCAGCAGGGATCAGTGCATGACATACAGGGGACCCAAAAAACACAGAATTATCTTTTGGAGGGTGGGCCTCTTACAGTACACTCGGAATTTGTTTCTCTGGATCAGACAGTCAAATGATCAAACAAAGTTTTCATCTGGAAGTTTTGAGACGGTAACATCACGATTTGCAGAAGAAACGTCCTGAGTTGTGGCAAACAGGTGACTGGTTCTTCCACTGTGACAACTTACCACACCACACTGAGCGTTCCGCAGTTTTTGATAAAAAAGGGTATGACTCCCATGCCCCACCCTCCCTATTCTCTTTCCGAGACTTTTTTGTTTCCCCGCCCAATGAAAAAAAGTCCTCCCAAGGGAAACATTTTGCTGATGTGGAAGAGGTGAAACAAAAAACAGCAAAGCACTAAAAGGCATCCAAATGGATGTGCCCAAAAATGTTTTGGAAAAAGTATCTTGATAGGTGTATTGCATCAAATGGGGAGTACTTTGAAGGTGACTGGAGTTTAAATATGTAAGAATAAATACATAGTTTTAAAAAATAAATTATTTTGGGGGGGTTACCCCCTCTTATAGCAGATGCTCAATGACTGTTGAATGAATGAATAAATAAATATAAGATGGGGATAACAGTGGCACCCCAGATTGTGACGATTAACTGAGATGATGAACATATCACATCTGGACTGTTATGTAAGGATAACTTGTGCCATAATTATGACGAGTGCTTTTGATGCGTAATGAGACATAGGTTGGCTAGGTGCTTTATGACACAAAAAGTTTCATATCTTAACCTAGTTAAATGCAGACGAAATAGCTCAACTTCATTAACATGCAGAAAGTTACTGAAAGCAGCAAGGAGCAGTGGAGAGAAATAAGAAAACAAAGCCACACAAAATTGTAAATCCTTTTTAAAAAAAATAATTATAACTACTTCATCTATTGCCATGGTACGACAGAACTGCTTGCTGCTTGCATGGTTGCTGCCCGCCACCTGGGCAGGAGGTGGAACAGACCTATTTCAGTGAACCTTCCTGGTATATCTGATCAACTCCTCCGCTCAGCTAATATGGTGGCTTTCCAGCAAATTCCACTGTAATGGTGACAGCGCATGCTGTAAGGAGCAGGGGTTCTCTATGCACTCTGACGGCCTCATGGTTCCAGTGTAGAATCCATGGGAGCTGTGGGCTTACCCATCCAAGACACGGTTGGCTACTCCCAAGGATCGGGCATGTGGGAGCCAGGAGGCAGGTGGATGTCCCAGGATGCCAGCAGGGGCTGAGGGCTGACTGCAGGTGCTGAGTCTCAGGAGTGGTGCACATTTCTGCATGATAATATATGAGACTCCTCACGTGCCTCTTCCTCTTTGCAGCACTGAGGAGAATGAGGCTCAGAAGGATTGACTTACTGCCTGAGGTCACACAACTATTAAGTGGTGGAGCGGAAATTCTAGAGCTGTTTGACCCCACACAGCCTCGTGTGGACATGTGAAATCATGGTGTAAGTGGGCTTGATACTCTCTTAGATGAGTTCTTTCTTTTTTTTGATTCATGTAATGTGCGTGTACAGATTCTACAGGCTTAGGAGTAGACCAAGCAGTCTTCCGCTGGGTCAGGGGTGGCGACTTCGGCTCCTGCGGTCTGTTTTGTCCGTTGTTGTGCCCTACTGCTTAGAACAGTGGTTCTCAAGTGCAGGGGGCGACTATGCCCTCCAGGAGATGCTCAGAGATGTCTGGAGATGTTTCTGAGGGTCATGACTGGAAAGGGTGTGACTCAGCAGATGGAAGCAGAGACGTTGCGCACGTCTACACGGCACAGGCTGGGCCCACGACACACACCCAGTACAGGATGCACTGTCGTTGGGCGACCCGACCTGCACAGCATGCGACATGCAGCAGGTGCACAATGTGTGTTCATTGACTGCACCTCATTTGGCTGTCTACTTTTTCCTCCTGTAGTTCATTTTCCTCTGTATTTCTAGACATTTCTTGATATTTCTGTTTTCAACCATGGAAAAGAGGATTTAACTCTTATCATACCCGAAACCCCCTTCCCCAAACACACACCTTTCCTTTTTTCCTGTCCCTTCTTTCTGTTTAATCAAAACTTTGTAAATATTTACTGAGCCAGGGACTAAAGTGACTTTATTTTTTTTTTTTTGAGTTGGAGTCTCACTCTGTCACCCAGACTGGAGTGCAGTGGCCACTCTCGGCCACCGCAGCCTCAACCTCCTGGGCTCCAGCGATCCTTCCGCCTCAGCCTTCTGAGTAGCTGGAACTACAGGCGTGCGCTACCACGCTCGGCTAATTTTTTGATTTATTGTAGAGATGAGGTCTGCCAAGTTGGCCAGGCAGGTCTCGAACCTGCGGGCTCAGGCAATCCACTCACCTCAGCCTCCCAAAGCGCGGGATTACAAGCTGAGCCACCGAGCCCGGCTTAAAGTGACTTTAATGTATAACTTTTTGGTTTCTTTAGAGCTAACACTCCTCCAACTGTTTGGTTATTATTATGTTGGTTTCTCCAGAGCTAATGATAACAGCTAATAATATACCTGTAATTAAATACAGTGTTTGTTTACATTTGTTAGTTTTTAATCTTTCAACTGCTGATTCACTCCCACCTCCCCAGGGTGCTGACCAGTGCCCTCCTGTGCTTCCTGCCGCACAGGGTCTTCTGCTCTGCCTTGGAGATGACCAGGGTCTCTTGTCCTGCTCCGGCCTGGCTGGTGGATTCCGTCCAGGCTGCTGTCCAGCCTTCACCTTGGTATCCACCAGGATCCGGGATGCCCCGCTTGTGCTGAGTCTTCTTTCAGGCTCATGTCTTTCTTGATTTATTCCCTCTTACAGTGGAAAATATTTGCTAGAAACTTCCTTAGAAAGGGTAAATGGAAGGTAAGTTTTTGAGAACCTACGTGTCTAGAAATGTTTTTATTCTTCCCTTACACTGAGTTGGTAATTTGGGTATAGAAGTCTGGGTAGGAAATCATTTTCCTGCTGAATTTGAAAGCATTCCTCCGTTTTTCTTTAGCTTCTGGTGCTGAGAAATCTGGTCCATTCTTGCCAAATCTCTCTCTCTTTCTGTCTCTCTCTTTTTTCTCTGGTGCTCTCTCTTCTCTCTCCCTTTCCTCTCTCTCCTCCCCATTCCTCCCTCACCCCTTTCTCTGTCTTCTCTCTCTCTCCTTCCATCTCCACATCTCCCCCCCAGCTATTGCTCTCTGTTTCTCTCCCCCATCTCTTTCTCTCCATTTCCTCAATCTGTCCATCTCCCCTCTCTTCCCCCTCTTTCTGTCTCCTCTTTCTCTCCTCCCGTCTCCCCCATCTCTTTCCCCCTCTTTCATCTCTCTCCCCCCTCTCTTTGTCACCACCCCCCTATCTGTCTGTCTCCCCCCCTCCCCGTATCCCTCTGTCTGTCTCCCCTCTTCCCCCCCCGTATCCCCTGTCTCTCTCTCCCCCCACCCGTGTCTCTCTCTCTCTCTCTCTCTCTCTCTCTCTCTCTCTCTGAAAGCCTCTGGAGTTCTGCCCTTCAGTTTCATGTTCTATAGTTTCAAGATTACTTGCCTTGCTATGGTCCTGATTTTTCGTCTCTGAATCTGGAAACTCATGTTATTTAGTTCTAGATATATTTCTTGATATTACTGTAATTTCCTCATTTTCTTTTTCTGGAATTCCTATTATTTGTAGGTTGGATCTCTTTCTTGTCATCATTCTCTCTCTCAACTCTATTTTCTGAGAGAATATCTCAACTTTATATTACGACAATTCTATATTGGTCTTAAATTTTTTTTTCTTTACCATTTTTTTAAATTCCAAAAACTCTTTTTTTTTTGTTCTGTGAATAAGCTTTTCTATAGCTTCCTGTTCTCATTTCAGGAATATATTATCTTCTATTATTTCTCTCAAGACATTCAAATTTTTTTTTAATGGAGCTTTCTTTTGCTCCTGCATTATCTGTTTTATCTGAGTTCCCATTTCCCCCATTTCTTTTGGTCTTTTTTTAAATCATAAAGGTTTTCCTCAACTGTCTCATGATCTGTGCTACTGATTTACTAAGATAATGACTGGAAACTCAGCATGAGGGGTGAGGCCTTTGATGGGCTTCACTGCAGGATGCTTCTGGTGAGGACCTGGCCTTTCACTGGGGCATCTATGGGTCCTTCTCCTTGGACTTGCTTGTTTTCCTAGAGAGGAAATTCCTAGTGTCCTGCTAGAGTGATGCTGAGTGAGAATGAGGCTGGGCATGGTCACCACATCAGGATGTGATTTCCCTTCAGTCCTGCTGATTTTTTTTTTTGAGTTGGAGTCTC